GTCAAGATATCAGACAACATATAGCATTGGGCAAATCTGCTGCAAAAGACCACTTTCAAGTGCTGAAGAGCAAAAATATCTCCTTGAAGACTAAGCTGCACCTGAGACAAGCCATGGTATTTTCAATCATCTCATATGCATGTGAGAGCTGGACAATAAATAAGGAAGACTGAAGAAGAGTTGATGCTTTTGAGTTGTGCTATTGATGAAGAATGCTGAAAGTACAATGGACTGCTAAAAGAACTAATAAATCTGTCCTAGAAGAAGTGCAGCCAGAATGCACCTTGGAAGTAAGAATGTCCAGACTGTGTCTCAACTACTTTGGTCATATGGAAAAAGAGACCACTCCCTACAGAAGGATATCATGCTTGGTAAAGTGGAGGGTCGAGGAAAAAGAGGAAGGCCTTCAACAAGATGGATTGACACAGTGACTACAATGACAGGCTCAGATATATCAAGGATTGTGGAGCTGGCACAGGACAGGGCAGTGTTTTGTTCTGCAGTACATAGGGTCGCTGTGAGTCAGAGACAACTTGATGGCACCTAACAACAATAGCAACACTGTCTTCTTTCCTGCATGGTTGCTGCCAAAAAGTCAGAGATTATTATTATTGGTTGCCCTTTGTAGGTAACTTACCTTTTTTTTTTTTTTTTTAAACTTAAGTCATATTTTCTATCATCTGCAACCAAAATTATTTGGAATACCTTTGTCTTCTTTGCTAGCTAACTTGTTTTTTTTTTTTTTTTTTTTTGATAGGCTTTCCTCTTAACATCCTTTGCTTATTGCCTCACTTAATCCAGCATTTTGACAGCCCAACTCAGTTTTGCAAAGAAACAGCTAGTCGAATAGCAAAGGTAAGCAGATGTCATACTAAACAATAACTCTATAAGGGAAAGCATTCTGGAGTTTATCTTAATGGGGGAAACCTAAAAATTTTTTTAAATCTCTTTTTACTGTCACTTCCTATGTGAATTTTGTATCTAAATTTTTATTCTCTTTGTGCAAATGAAGGAGTTCTATACAACTGATGTAGGTTGCAATGACTCAAATAATAAAATTAAACTAGAGTAGCACTTCTTTCAGTCTAAATCTTTTTCTACTATTTCCCTATTTTCTCCTGTACTTCTCTGTCAGTTGCTCATTCACTCATTTCTTTACTACCAAGTGTTGACTCAGCACCGGGTTGCAACGCAAACGCAACCACTGCGGTGGAGTCGGATCTGACTCATAGCGACCCCTCCTTGGGTTCCCGAGGCGATATCACTAGAAGTAGAAGTAGATTGCCCAGGCTTCCTTCCGAAGAGTGGCTGGTGAGTTTGAACCGGCAGGTAGCTTCTGGTTAGCAGTCAAATGCCTTAGGCACTAGGCCACCAGACCTCCCTAGCACTGGGTTAGGTATTGGGCATACAGTGGTAAGCAGAATAGATAGGATACTTACCTTTGTGGAGCTTATAATGGAGGTTGCAGTGAAGTGTGTAGACAATTACAGTTCAGTTTAATAAGTGCAGCGGAAGGGTAAAGGACTCTAGGAATACATAATTCAAAACTCTTCCTAGAGGAAGTCATTCCTTGGAAGGCATTGAATAGAATAACCTATTCAGTGAGCTCTAGTGGCATAATGCCTAAGGCATTTGACTGGTAACCAGAAGGCTGGCAGTTCAAACCACCACCCACTCCTTGGAAGGAAGACTGGGCAATCTACTTCCATGGAGATACCACTTTGGGAACCAAGGAGGGATCCCTATGAGTCGGAATCGAATCAACAACAGTGAGTTTTATTCAATGAGTAAATCTCTGGATGAGGGGTGAGAAGCTCAGCTAGGCTTGGAAGTTTTGTAGACAAAAGAAAAGGTGTTACAAAGGCCCAAAGAAGAGGTTGGGGAAGTATATTTAGGGATTCTGCGTGTTCCTTATGTTTGCCTTTTTCCTTTTCACATCTTTCTCTCCATCTTCTTTCTCTGTTCCCTTCATTCTTATTTTCTTCCTTATTTGGCTCTTTTCCTCTCATCGTACAGCTCCAGAAACAGAAATGTAGCTATTTTTAAATCCTCTGTTAATATTAGCTTAAAAATACTATAGTTCTTAATTTTAAAAGAATATGATTTTGATACTTTCTATTTTAAATAATTTCTTCTCTTAAGAACAGAAAAAGAACTCAAATAGCTTACCTTCTGCTCAAATCTTAATTTTTTTCTTTTGCTGTCATTCATTGAATATTGGAACAAAACCTTTTCAGACTTAAAATATAAAGAGCTACAAACTCAAAACCTAACTCACTGCCATCAAGTCAGTTCTGACATATAGAGAACCCCCTCCTTGGGTTTCCAAGGCTACAATGCTTTATGGAAGCAGACTGCCTCATCTTTCTCCCATGGAGCAGCTGTTGGGTTAGAACCACTGACCTTTTGATTAGCAGCCAAATGCCTAAACTACTACACCACCAGGCCTCCTTGAAAGAGCTACAAGAAGTTCTATCAATTTATGAATTATACAGTAGGGAGTTATGTGAGGTAGGGGAGGAGAGGAGATAGCAGCATAAGGTATCCTAGCCAAATGCACTCAGAAAAAACCAATGAAATTTGCAACAAAAGGAAATAGCAAATAAAATGCTCTGGAATTGCTTTTCAGATGGGCACATTGTTTGAGTTGAGACTTATTTGACAACTAACACAACAGTAAGTAGAAAAAGCAAGCCAGCAGAAAGCCAAATACAACACCTGTCTCTCCATGGTCCAGATTTCAGCACTGGTAAGGGCAGGCTTATTTCTGGATGCCAATGTAGTGACAAAATACTACGAGCCCTAGTAGCCCCATTAACAGTAGTGAGAGCCTGGTCCTCACCTTGATAAAGCCTAACCAGTTGCTGCTGAGTCCATTCCCACTCACGGCAACACTCAAGGTGTCAGAGTGGAACCGTGCCCTGTAGGGTTTTCTGAGGCTGATTTTTCAGAGGTCTGGCACCAGGCCTTTTTTCCCAAGGCATCTCAGGAAGGACTCCAACCTTTTGGTTAACAGCTGAGCGCTTAACTGTTTGCACAACCCAGGGATTCCATCCTCACGATAGGTGATTTGTAGTAAATTACAAGAAAGTATTTAATGAAATACGGTGTTGAGTCCATCCTGAATTAAAATTCGAAGTAAATTAGATGTGGAGAGACTCTTAATGTGATTATTTTTAAAGTCTACATTTAAAAAGAAGAGACAATATTAATGCAAACATATCTTAGTTTCTCAAATAAAAATGACAGTGATAGGAAATTAAGGCAATAATGTCTCCTATTCTTGGTTTTACTTAATAAACAAATTCAGTAGAACATTAAATATCAAGAGAGGATGAATAACTATGATTGTTAGAAATGAAATATCACCTTTTATAAATGAGTGTTTGCCTGAAGGAAACCAACGTGTATTGTATTATTAAGGTCTAAAACTGATACAAAAATATGCATTTATTAAAATAACTTTCATTTTATATTCTAATAACATTGTTAGAAAAATGTTGTAATGGAGTTTTTTGTTTTTTTGTTTTTTTTTGCATTAGGTATGAGACAGAAAATAATGAGGGGAAAAAAATGTATATTGGCTTAATTTGGGATTTCAAGAGAAGAAAAGGCATAAATCCCCTGATAAGAGGCTAAAACATGCTAAATAATGACCTGCTAAATGCTGGTATGAGTGAGGCACACTGCCTGTCCTGGCTTTAATGCTGTTGCAGCCCCTTGAGTGTCAAACTTCTGCTCTCCTGATCACAGCAGGACATAGGAAAACCCTAAATATCATTTTTGTTTTTAAAAAATCAAATCAAGCCTTCTGTGACTCATAGATCATATTTTTAAGTCTGTTTTCTTCCTGTTGGGCAGCACACAAAGGTCCCTCTCTGTATGCTTTTAGCAACCTACAGGATGTGGATTAAATTGATTCCTTAATTATTCTCTCACTCATAACTGTTGGGAGTAATTTTCTGCCATTATGTGCTTCCTCATTATGCAAATATCCCTAGTTGTACTGTTTATATACTTGGAGAGCACAGAATTTCAAAATGAGGCAATGGTAGAGACAAATATTAACCTCTTTGTTGTTGTGGTTGTTTACTGTTGAGTCGGACCTGACTCATAGCGACCCCTCCTTGCGTTTTCAAGGTGGTATCTCTATGGAAGTAGATTGTCCAACCTTCCTTCCAAGGAGTGGCTGGTGGGTTTGAACCTCCAGCCTTGTGGTTAGCAGTCAAGTGCCTTAGGCATTACACCACCAGAGCTCTTATTGTCCTCTTTAGCTATTCATTATGGCAAACATAGTATGCTAACCAAAGTACGTTCTAAAATGTCCTTTCTTTCAATCTTACTTTAACCTGATAAATCCAAAAGTTAAATTTTAAATCATTTGCTTTATTATCAAATTGCATAGCACATATCCCGAGGAATTTGTCCCTTTTCAAAAATAAAGTTTTTTACTTAATCGGTCTTAAGAAAATATATCCCTTAAGATATTACATATCTGTTTTATTCCTCAGAAAATATTTTCATATTTTAAGAATTTAAGGAAATTATGAAAATTTAAAATGTGTTCATTAAATAATATGATAAATTATTTTCTTTTGAAATACCAATGAAAGAAATACCAACCAAATTTTTCTGATGCTTATTTTATTGGTAGAAGACTAATGCACAGAATCAGCTGCTTTTAGTGATTTTACAGGATAACTTCCAAGGTACTGGGCTAATGGTCTCACTCTGCACAGTGCTGCATACTTTCATATCCCAAGCTTGTCCAGTAATAATGTCCAAATGACAGATTGGAGGTCCTCTAAACATATTAAATGTCTTCTGAATTATCAAAGTAAAAGTCCCTTAGATCCATTTCAAAGTTGAAAATATATATACTTTACTCTGTTTGCTAAAGACTCTAGACAGTATGTGAAAATACCACAAAACATTAATAAGTTGACAAAGGAAAACTAAGCAGAAATTCAACGGGGCTGGCCCTTTATGAGGGCTCCTGGGTAGCACAAATAGTTATGTGCTCAGCCGCTAACTCAAAGGATGCTGGGTCAGTTCCACCCAGAGATGCCTCAGAAGGCAGTCTGAAAGTCTGGTTCTGAAAAAGCAGCCGCTGAAAACCCTGTGGGGCCCAGTTCTACTCTGACACACATGGGGTCACCATGACTCTTAATTGACTCAGCAGCAGCTGATTAGCCTTTTATGACAGATGGAGTGTAAGAGTAGGATGGCCCTTTTCTATGTCTGCATTGCTCGAGTGTCCCCCAGAAGAGACCAGGGAACATCCTTACCTGTAACCTATAGAACAAACAAACTGAGAGGGTGCTTTGGGTCAGTAAGATACCCCCACACATTTATTGGTTTGGATTCCATTAAGTACTGTAGCAGATCAACTCTAGGGGTTCAATACATTTTGAAGTGACCTCTAAAAGACTGCTCTAAGGATCTTAGAACTTCGGATACTTTTCTGAAGACCAGTTTTAGTGGTCCACCTTGCAGATTATCTGTTAGAGAAGTAGGACTTGGTTTTATGACAGCTCCAGTGAAGTCCTTTGAATACATCACACATGTAGGGAATCTCTGCAATGGACTGTTCTACTTCGATGCCCTGGACAACCTGAGACTAAAGCCTGTCTCTAGCACAGCAACTTTGCACCTCCCCGAGGAGTCCCAGGTTGAGCTGGCCTATTTGGGCACTTGTGCACTGAACCGTGTGTGATTTTATAAAATAAACAGTTTTTACAGAATAGTTACAGAATGACGTATGGGATATGTGGGTTTTACCAAAAACAGTTCTACAAAACATCAGGCTGCAGAATGCTGTGCTGTTTAGCACCCTCCTGGTGCTTGACGTGTTGAGCACCTTCCCATTCTATTATGTTACTTTATCTTAAAAGTACTTTGTGCTTGTTTTCTCTTCTATTTTTTTTCTCCTGTCCTGAAATAAAGTGTATTAAAACTTTAAAGATATACATTCACATTATTTCATTAAATAAATACATTTTCTATAAAGTCAAGTTTAACCTTAAGTGTCTTCATTTTAAGTAGATGAAATAATTGTGTTTGTTTTCTAGGTTTGTGCAGAAGAAAAGTGCCCACCGCTTGTCAATCTGGCTCACATGATGAGTTTGTACAGCACCCACACGTATTCCAGAGACTGTTCTAACTGGATCAACGTAGTATGTAGATACCTGCACGACTCCTTCTCAGATACCACATTCAGTCTTGTCACTTACCTTGCGGAGGTAAAGTGGTTAGTGGTCTTGATCCTAGAGAGTGAATATAGTTTTTATTTCTACAAAATTGGTTCTTGCCTTTGAAATCCTTTATAGAATGCTAATATAGCATGCAAAGGAGTTTTGGCTGGTTAAATTTTTATTTTAACGATACATTTACTTCCTTATCTAAAATACGATTTTGTGGGGCCTAAAAATGGAATTATTAAAAAATAGCCCTGGAACAGCATAAAACGTTAATGCTTATTTGTTGATGCATAAGCAGTAACTTCATGCATTTGAATGTAAATTATTGAGTAGGCACACAGACAACCTCAAAAGGAAGAAATTCCTATTCACTAAGAATATTTATCAGTTTATAATAAAGGAATACCTTATTTTTTGAAGGGTTGGCCTCTAGAAATTAAACATGTAACACTAACATGTAATACAAACTTATTCATAGCTGAGTAAACAGTATTTGAATACTGCTCATAGCACTAATATTTAACTGAGCTAAGTCACTAATATTCACTATCATGAAAGTGCTTCATAGCTGGTATGAATTTTTTTAAGTTTTGGTTTTGACAAAGTTCTTACCATCAAATTTATATTTAAGTGAGCTGACAATGTGAGCTGCCTGCCTGATAGATCCATAGCCTGAATGAATGCATGTCACTAGATTTATCTTATAGATACCTATACCTTTAGGATAAGAGTTGACATAAGACCAGGCCAAATTTGGCTTTGAATTTAACCCAGCATTTTAGACCAACTTTACATTTGTGCCACCATAAAACTCACTATTAAAGTGGCATTGTTATTGTTAGGTGCCATCGAATCATTTTCAACTCATAGCAAACCCATGTGATAGAACTGCCCTCGTAGGGTTTTCTAAGCTGGCATCTTTAAGTGAGCAGATCTTTAAGTCTTTCCCCTATTGAACTGCCAAACTTTTGTTTAACAGCAGAGTGCTTAACCAATGTGCCACAAGGGCTCCTACGTTTCCCCCAAAGATCCAATCATAGGACTCTAATGTCTGGAACTGGCGCAGTACGACCTTCTGTGTACCACATACTGGCCATGTTTTCCCACTGTGTACAGAGGGAGCTCTGGTAGCATAGTGCCTAAGGCACTTGACTGCTAACCAGAAGGCTGGCAGTTCAAACCCACCAGCCACTCCTCGGAAGGAAGGTTGGGCAATCTACTTCCGTAGTGATACTGCCTCGGAAACCCAAGGAGGGGTCACTATGAGTCGGGGCGGACTCGACGGCAAATAACAACAACAACAACAACAACAGAGGATACTTTAGCCTCAGATGCTTCTCTTATTTTAGTGTAAAGGAGCTCCAGTAGTGTAATAGTTAAGGCATTTGCCTGCTGACCAGTAGGTCAGTAGTTTGAATCCACTGGCTTCTCTGTGGAAGAAAGATGAGGCAGTCTGCTTCTGTAAAGATTTATAGCCTTGGAAACCCAATGGGGGTTGCTGTGAGTTGGAGTTGATTCAATGGTGGTGAGTTTGGTTTGAGTTTTATTAGTGTAAGTTAATCTTTCATTTTTATTAATAATTCTCAAATTATTACAACAGTACTAAAGCTAGTTACATGTGTTTAAAATGACACTAACTTAATTTAGTCTGCCCCTCAAATACCTATGAAATGTATTGCTATTTTACACTTTTAAAAAAATCAAGGCTTAGAGAGATTACAGAGCAGTCATCATCTCTGAGATTAGGATTATGACTCATTGTACGAAATTATCACCTCGCTAATAAGTGGCTGGTGTGAATGTTGTGTGTGTAGTTTTTCTTTGGTAATGATGGTAGAGTGGTTTTTCTCTTAATCTAAGATGTCTTCAGCTACATTAATTAAGGAAATACTAAGATTATGATTTAAAAAATAATTATCGAATTCTTTCTGAATCAGGAAAAAATAACAGTAATAAATACTATCTTTAGCTTTTTGAACTCTGCATTTCTAATAATCAAACCATAAATTCATAGGTTAAAGCTATTTTCTTTTTCAACATCATAGATATAAATGTTGCATTTTTCTTTAACCTGATTAAAGTATACTTTTTAACATTACTTCTAGTTGTTAGAAAAAGGATTGTCCAGTATGCAGCAGTCATTACTACAGATCATCTATAGTCTTTTGAGTCATATTGACCTCTCTTCTGCCCCAGTCAAGCAGTTTAATCTGGAGATCATAAAGATTATTGGCAAATATGTACAGGTGAGTGACCACAATAATTTTAAAAACACCAGAATCACTGTAAGTGTCCAAGAGTAGGGAAATGGTTAATCCATAAATCAAGTTTTCAAGCATATTTACAACATGGGGGAAGTGTTCTCAAAATTAAGTAGCAAAAGGTACCTTAATGGTAGGATTGGTATGATTCCTCTTTGTGGTTTTTAAAATAATGTCTTATGATTATGCATTTCAGTAAACACTGGTCGATATACACACAGGTGGCAGCAGTCATCATCTCTGAGATTAGGATTATGACTCATTGTTACTTTGTACTTTCTGTTTTTAACCAGATTCTACCTAATGAAAAAGCACTGCTTTTAGAAACAGAGAAGCTCTTTTAAGAGCTTGTATTTTATAGCTGCTTTCTGTGTCTGATGTAAAGTGCCAGCTACTTAGAAAGTAGAAAATCTGACTTAATTTAAAAAACAGTGAGAAGGCACCTGGTCTATACTGACTTTCACCTTTGACCTGTCCATTCAGAAAAGGTTTGCTGAGCATGTCAGTGACTATGCTTATCAAAGACAAAATTCTGTAAGCGCTTTTACGTATTAGTATTTTGTATTTATACGCTAGTAGTTACATTTGTGTTCACTAAAGCAAAATTTACAAATGGCAATGCTTGGCTAGGAGCTCTGGTAGTGTAGTGGCTAAGGCACTTGACTGCTACCCAGAAGGCTGGTAGTTCAAACCCACCAGCCACTCCTTGGAAGGAAGATTGGGCAATCTACTTCCATAGTGATACTGCCTCGGGAAACCTAAGGAGGGGTTGCTATGAGTCAGGTCCGACTCAATGGCACATAACAACAACAACAATAATGGTTGGCTAGCCATGAGTTTGCATTCTTTCTAAAAGTAACAAAACTGTGTTTGAAGGTGTGTTTCCATATTTAGTTAGGAAATACAGACTAACTTTTAAATTCCCTTGTAAATCTGTGACTGTGCATATTCAAAAACTTCGATTCTTTGGTCATTCCATTGATCTTTTGCATATTATCCCACAATTGGTATGGCTTTGCTGTCACTCATCTGTCAGTTTGTTATACTGTGGTGGCTGACAGGTTGCTCTCATACTGGAAGCTGTGCCGGCAAGGTCGTCCATGGTGGACAGGTTTCAGTGGAGCTTCCAGACTAAGACTAAGAAGAGGACCTGGCAGTCTACTTCTGAAAAAAATTTACCAGTGAAAACTTTATGAATAGCAGTGGATACTGTACTGTCTGATATAGTGCTAGAAGGTGAGCCCCTCAGGTTAGGTGGCACTCAAAATACAACTGGGGAAGAACTATCTCCTCAAAGTAGACCCACTGCCATCAAGTTAATTCTGACTCATAGCAGCCCCCATTGGGTTTCTAAGGTGGTAAATCTCACAGAAGTAGATTGCCTTGTCTTCCTTGTGTGGAGCAGGTGGTGGCTTTGAACCACCAACCTTCTGGTTAGCAGTCAATTGCCTTAGTCGCTGCACCACCCAAGCTCCTTCCTCAAAGTAAAGTCGACCTTGATGATGTGGATGGGGAGTATATCTTTTGGGACCTTCATTTCCTGATGTGGCATGACTCAAAATGAAAAGAAGCACCTGCAAACATCCATTAATGATCAGAGCATGGAATGTGTAAAGTATGAATCTAGGAAAATTAGACATTGTCATGAATAAAATGGAACACACAAAGATCAATATCCTAGGCATTAGTGAGCTGAAAGGGACTGATATTGGCCATTTTGAATAGAGCAATCATATGGTCTACTCTGCCAGGAATGACAGATTGAAGAGGAATGGTGTCATGTTCATCGTCAAAAAAGAACTTTTCAAGATCTTTTCAAGATCAAGATTTCAAGTACAACACTGTCAGTGATAGAATAATATCCATATGCCTACAAGGAAGACCATTTAATGGCACTATTATTCAGATCACGCATCAGCTACTAATGATAATGATGAAGGTTTTGACCAACTTGTACAATCTGAAGCTGATGCATTGATAATTACTGGTGTTGGAAACAAACAACAAGGAACACTAGTTGGAAAACATGGCCTTGGTAATAGAAACAATGCCAGATAGCCCATGGTAAAATTTTGTAGATACTTTTTTTCAACAACATAACTAATGACTACATGTTGATTTCACCAGATGGAATACACAGGAATCCAAGTGACTACATGTATGGAAAGAGATGATGGAGAAGCTCAATATTATCAGTCAGAACAAGGCCAGGAGTTAACTGGAGCAGACTATCATTTGCTCATATGCAAGGTGAAATTGAAGCTGAAGGAAATTAACTCTATGCGAGCCAAAGTACAACCTCGAGTATATCCCACCTAAATTTAGAATCCACCTCAAGAATAGATTTGATGTATTGAACACTAATGACTGAAGACTAGATGACTTATGGAATAACATCAAGGACATCATCTATGCTAAAGGCAAAAGCTCTTTCTAGACAGGAAAGTAAAAAAAGACCAAAAACAATGTCAAAAGAGACTCTGAAGCAAGCTCTCAAAGTAAAGTAGCTAATGATGAAGTAAAATAGCTGAACAGAAGATTTCAAAGTGCAACTGAACAAGACAGAGTAAGGTATTATAATGAAATATGCAAAGAGCTGGAGTTAGGAAACCAAAAGGAAAGTACACACCTTGGCATTTTTTAACCTGAAAGAACTGAAAAGAAATGCAGGTGTTTGGTTGCAATATTGAAGGATGTATGGGCAAAATATTGAAGGATTATAGGAAACATCAAGAGAAGATGGAAGGAATGTAGAGAGTGACTATACCAAAAAGAATTGGCCAATGCTCGGTCATTTTGAGTTGTAACATATGATCAAGAGCCAATGGTTCAAGCTGCACTGATGGAAATAGTGGAGAAAAAAAACGGCTCCAGGAATTGGCAGAATACCAGTTGAGATGTTTCATCAAACAGATGCAGTGCTAGAAGTGTTCACTCATCTATGTCAAAAAATTTGAAGACAGCTACCTGGCCAACTGACTGGAAGAGATTTTTGTGCCAATTCCAAAGAAAAGTGATTCAATAGAATATAGAAATTGTTAGGCAATATCGTTGATATCATTATCACACTCAAGTAGAGTTTTGCTGAAGGTAATTCAGAAACAGATGCAGCAGTACATCGGCAGGGAACTGCCAGGAATTCAAGCCAGATTCAGAAGAGGACATGGAATGAAATACATGATTTTTGGTGTCAGATGGATCTTGACTGAAAGCAAAGAATACCAGAAAGGTGTTTACCTGTGTTTTATTGACTATGCAAAGCTTTTAATTGCATGGGTCATAACAAAACATGAATAACATTGTGAAGAATGAGAATACCAGAACACTTAATTGTGCTCATGCAGAACCTATAGATAGTCATTCAAACAGAGCAAGAGAATACTGCATGGTTTAAAATAAGGAAAGGTGTATATCAGGGTTGTATCCTTTCACCATACTTACTCAATCTGTATGCTGAGCATATATTCCAAGAAGCTGGAATATATGAAGAAGAACATAGTATCAAGATTGGAGAAATACTCATTAATAACCTGCAATATGCAGATGACACAACCTTGTTTGCTGAATGTGAAGAGGACTTGAAGCATTTACTGATGAAGATCAAAGACTACAGCCTTCAGTATGGATTACACTTCAACATAAAATTCCTCACAAACTTGACCAATAAGCAACATCACAATAAATGAAGAAAAGATTGAAGTTGTCAGGGATTTCATTTTACTTGGACCCACAATCAATGCCTATGAAAGCAGCGGTTAAGAAATCAGATTGCATATTTCACTGAGCAAATCTGCTATAGATGATCTCTTTGAAGTGTTAAAGAGCAAAGATGTCACTTTGACTAAGGCTCACCTGATCCAATCCATGGTATTTCAGTCACTTCATATGCATGTGAAGACTGGACAATGAACAAGGAAGACTAAAGGAGAATTGATGGATTTGAATGCTGACAAAAAGTACTGAAAATATCATGGACTGCCAGAGAAACAAATCTGTCTTGCAGGAAGTACAAGTGGAATGCCCTTTAGAAGCAAGAATGGCCAGACTTCATCTCACCTACTTTGGGCATGTTGTCAGAAGGGACCAATCCTTAGAGAAGGGTACCATGCTTGGTAAAGTAGAGGAGCAGTGAAAACGGGAAAGACCCTCCATGAGACGGATTGACACAGTGGCTGCAGCTGTGGGCTCAAGCACAGCAAGGACTGTGAGGATGGCACAGGACCAGGCAGGGTTTGGTTCTGTCGTACACATGGCCACTGTGGGTCAGGGCCAACTCAATGGCACCTAACAATAACATTAACATGTATACGAAAGCTAGACAACAAATATAGAAGACTAAAAAATAATTAGTGCATTTTAATTATGGGTTTGGCAAAGAATATTTAATATAGGAGCTCTGGTAGCATAGTGTCTAAGGCCCTTGACTACTAACCAGAAGGCTGGCGGTTCAAACCCACCAGCCACTCCTCGGAAGGAAGATGGGGCAATCTACTTCGTAGTGATACTGATACTGCCTCAGAAACTCAAGGAGAGGTTGCTATGAGTTGGGTCTGACTCGACAGCACATAACAACAATGGATTGGCAGAAGAATGAACAAATCTGTCATGGAAGAATATAAATAGAATGCTTCTTGGAAGCAAAGATGGCAAGACTTGAACTCACATACTTTGGACATGTTATTAGGACAGGCCAGTCCCTAAAGGAGAGCATCATGCTTGGTAAGGTAGAAGGTCAGTGAAAAAGGGGAAGATCGTCAGTAAGGTGGATTGACACGGTGGCTGCAACAGTGGCTCAAACACAGCAACAAGTGTGGGGGCGGCATAGGACCAAGCAGTGTTTCATTCTGTCTTACACATGATTGCCATGAATCCGAACCAACTCTGTCGTGCCTAACAACAGCAAAGTAAGGTTTCACCAGATAACTGTTTCCTTCTAAAGCAAATTTCTTTTCTCTTCTTAAGGCGTAAAGAAATTAACTTACCAAATATTTGCTAGATCTCCCATAGCAATGTATACCACATTAAATTACTAAATTATGAAATAATATTTATATGATCTATAATGTACACAAAGTTTGTGTTATTCATTAATTATATATTTGTACCTTTTTGTGTATGTGTGTGTGTAAACCAGAGTCCTTACTGGAAGGAAGCCCTCAACATATTAAAGCTGGTGGTGTCTCGTTCCGCAAGTCTCGTTGTACCCAATGATATCCCCAAGACTTATGGAGGAGATATGGGTTCTCCTGAGATATCCTTCACTAAAATTTTTAATAATGTCTCCAAAGAGTTGCCTGGGAAGACCTTAGATTTTCATTTTGATATATCTGAGGTAAGATGTTCAGGAATTGATAGAAGTCTCCCCTTAAGAATTTGCATTTATTCATTCTTTGAGTCAGCAAGCATTTGTGGAGCCCATATTTAGAATTAGTTATTGTCATCAGGTCTGTTACAACTCAGGGCAGCCTGTGTGTGTCAGAGTAGAACTGTACTCCATAAGATTTTCTGTGGCTGACTTTTTGGATGTAGATCACCAGGTCATTTTTCCAAGGCCCTCAAACCTCCAACATTTTTGTTTTCAGTGAGTAACTGAGCATGTCAACCTCTACACTCCCTAGGTACTCCATATTCAGTAGTAGACAACTAGGAAAATGGAGGATGGATGGCTACTCTCAGCAAGCTTAATAGTGTCTTGGGGTAACAGGCAAATAAACATTATGATAAGAGCTTGGCTGGAAATAAGTTAAAAGTACTATAGGAATACAAAGCATATACATCTAACCTAGAGGTGAGGTTTCAGGAAGGAGGTAACATCTGAGCTCAGCTTTGAAAGAGAAGTAACCCTAGTCGGGCACATGTGGAAGTTATGCAAAGAAGAGTTACAATCTGTGAAAAAGCAGCATGTGTGATGGCTTGTTAAATGTGAGAGAGTGTGATGGTGTGGAAATTTGCAACTAGTACAGCTTACCTGTAGCACAGGATACACGGAAGTAAGAGGCAAGATCATGAGGATAAGAGAATGATTTTATTTGGAAGCAGTAAGAACTCTTAAAGGACTGTTTGCTATAGAGTAGGAAATACTAGGATTTGCATTTCAGGAGGATTACTCTGACAACAGGATGGAAAATAGTCCAGGGAGAACCAAAAAGCAAACCAACCCATTGCAATCGAGTGAATTCTAACTCATAGTGATCCTGTGAGACACAATAGAACTTACCCATAGAGTTTTCAAGGCTGTAATCTTTACAGAAGCAAACTTGCATATCTTTCTCCCATGGAGCAGCTGGTGGGTTCAAACTGCCGACCTTTCAGTTAACAACTGAGAACTTTTTACCATTGTGCCACTAGGGCTCCTTCAGATTAATTGTGTGTATATATATATATATAAATTGTGTGTATATATATATATATAAATGTAAATTTTATTGCAGTTTAGTCTTGGCATGAGAATTTATCTATGACATCTTTTTTTGATAAGAAAGTGTGTTTATTGCTAATTTAACTAGTTATCATCTGAAAATTTCTACGTGGAGTATGTCCTATGAAATTACTATACAAGACCTATTTTTCTTTTTCCCCAGAATTGGAAGTTGATATTATAATGATTATTTTGTTTAAAGTAGTGATGTGAAATCTCAAAACATTTGATATGTTTAGTTCCATTTAGTTTCATCATGAAGTCTTAAGTACCTGCTGTGCAGGCACAGTGATACACTAGAGGTACAGAGACTAATCATGTGTACATCCAGGGACTCATACATAGTCGGGACGACAGCCACGCAAACATGACAGCTGACTTGGTAGAGGTCCGAGCATAGTCCTGTAGTGGTGTGATGGTATCAGAGGAGGCCTCCATGGAAGTCTGGAGTCATCCTGAAAAAAGGGTTTGCTTAATGGACATTCTTTGGAAAGGGAGCAACAAGTACCAAAACAGGTCTATAAAAGAACATGGTGTGTTTGGGTCACCAAAAGCCAGTTCAATCTTGTTAGAGTATAAAGTTCAGGAGGGAGATAGTAATTAAAGGTAGGGAATAAGCAAGGAGGCAGATCATAAGGGGACTTGTATGATCTGCAAATAAACCTGGATTTTATTTTCAAGTAAAGATTCAAAACACTCCACAAAGCCAAATAAATGTGAGTTTTGGATCACAGAATTTTTACTAAAATGAGTTTTGGAACTTTTACACATAAGATTTATAGTGATAGTCTGCATAGAAATCTTCCTCTTTGGACTTGTTACTTATCATGAATATGTATTAAAGCACCTTGAGGCACACTTAACAACATGCATTGAAAAAACACTAAAATGTCAGCAGATTCAATCTAAATGGTGAGCCTGCAGGTAATTGTTAAAAGACTTTTTATACTTCCTGAGCTTTCTACAAAGAGCACTGTGCTTTCTAATTATGGGGAGGGAGGTGAAGGTGTTGGATTTTAAAGAAAGCAGATGTGTATATAAAATAGGACTATACTGCCTCGGAAACCCAAGGAGGGGTCGCTATGAATCGAGTCCGATTTGATGGCACATAACAACAACAACAACAACAACAAGCTGTTTAGTAGTCTTCTCAGATAGGAAGTTGTCATCTCCAGTAAAGTCTCTTGATTTTAAAAAAGACACCATTACCTATGATTTTGTTTCTTCTAGTTCATGCTTTGTAATCACCCTCCTTACATTGTTTTTGGGCTGCTTATAGAAAATGTCATTATAGTTATGCTGTTAGCATTTATAAACTTCTTTTATATTAAGATGTTTTGGTCAAACAGTGGTATTTTGTTTCTGTGTAGACACCAATTATTGGAAATAAATATGGTGATCAGCATAGTGCAGCTGGAAGAAATGGGAAACCAAAAGTTATTGCTGTCACGAGAAGTACTTCTTCAACCTCTTCTGGTTCTAATTCTAATGCCTTGGTTCCTGTTAGTTGGAAAAGACCACAGTTATCCCAGGTACATGAATGAATAAACATCCATGGAAAAGTCAATTTTATTACATATATGAAAACTTGCAAATTGGTCTTACTTTATCAATAATGCCAACATGTGATCATTTCTTTTTAGCGGAGGACAAGAGAAAAGCTAATGAACGTGCTTTCCCTCTGTGGCCCAGAGTCCGGCCTCCCGAAGAATCCATCAGTGAGTAGTCACGAACATATATGTCAAGGTTTTAAAATCAGATTATTCCATGAAGAAATGGAAATTGTTCTGTCTCTTCACTTGCTTTTTCTAACTTTCCTGTTTTTGGTATTAACTGAGAATGAAAGAAAAATTTCTTGTCTGTTTGACATATGGCAGCGATGCTAATTAAGGAGTCAACCAGCTAGACTTTAACAATTCCAAATTTAAGCTCTAAATTCATTGAGGAATAAGACTTAAGTTAGTAATTCTTAGGGGGCTGATTAATGTCTCATATTCAGAGTGACAAAGCTGATGAATGGATTTTTTTTTTTTTTTTTTTGGTGGGGATTCAGGTTGTATTTTCTTCCAATGAGGATTTGGAAGTTGGTGACCAACAGACTAGCCTAATTTCTACAACAGAAGACATAATTCAAGAAGAAGAAGTAGCTGTGGAAGATAATAGCAGTGAACAACAGTTTGGAGTTTTTAAGGATTTTGACTTTTTAGATGTTGAATTGGAAGATGCAGAGGTAAGGATACGGGCTTTCTATGATAATATTTGTACAGTAGTTACAGCTGTATGAGATTTAAGTATTTTACCTTATTGAGGTCATCTTTTCTCCTTCAGGTCAGTATAAGGATAAAAAAACCAAACCAAACTCACTGCTGTCGAGTCAGATCTAACTCATAGCAACCCCTCCTTGGGTTTCTGAGGCAGTATCACTGTGGAAGCAGATTGCCCAACCTTCCTTCCAAGGAGTGGCTGGTGGGTTTGAACCACCAGCCTTCTGGTTAGCAGTCAGATGCCTTAGGCACTACACCACCAGTGCTCCAGTATAAGGATCAACTCGCTTCCGTTGAGTCAGATCCGACTCATAGCAACCCCACCTTGGGTTTCCGAGGCAGTATCACTATGGAAGTAGATTGCCCAAACTTCCTTCCAAGGAATGGCTGGTGGGTTTGATCTGCCAGCCTTCTGGTTAACAGTCAAATGTCTTAGGCATTATACCACCAGAGCTCCTAGTATAAGGATAGAAGGCCAAAAATCTAAATTAGTAACTAAATGTGATTAGTGTAATTAGGCTATAGCAGAGTAAGTCTGAAGTAAAAGGAAAATCCAGTTTCTCATCTCGTTTATTTAAAAATATAAATGTAAAACACACATTTCTTCAAAAGTGATTTTAAGTTGTGCTTTGACCAAAAGGTTTTACATGTGCTATACAAATTAATTGCAGCAAAGTAGTAAAATTATATTAAATTTTATCAGACAATTTTAAAGAGGATGGTGCTTATCACTATATTGACTGTTGGAAGGCTTCAGTTCTCAAGAACTCTTTCTTATGGCAAATGGCCCAAGATTCTTCCTATAACATTTGCAACTTTCTTCTTTATGATGTAGCCAGCTCTCTCAAATGTCTGATTTCATTTCATACCCCAGGGACCCTGTCCTCTAAATTGATTCGGTCTACATTGGATTGATGGTTGTGTCTCTTTTAGATGCTTTCTAAATAGAAAATCCATCTCAAAGGTGGATTAGCTCACAAAACTCAGAAAGTCCAGAGTTAGAGCTAGGATTCAGCTCTCTAAGCCTATTTCTCTGCACTTCTCTAGGTTCTGCCCTTCTCTGCAAGGCAGCTAAACCTCCAGTGGCAAGATATTTGTCATAGCTATGTGTGGCCTGATGTCTATACACAGCACAGTTCCGAGGAATTAAGGGCTGCTTCAGAAATGCTCTTATCAAAATGAAGATGCTAAGCTCTCTTACAAACCTCTTGTCACATCTCAATAGCTAAGTTAGAACACATGCTAATTTCTGAAGCAATTACTGTGGCAAAGAGAATATGATTGCCCTGGTTGTGGTTGTCTTAGGCTATTTGGGACTATTTGTTTTTCATTATTATTTTATTTTTATTGTGATTTGGGTGAAAGTTTACAGAGAAAATTGGTTTTCCATTCAACAATCCATACACATTCTGTTTTATGACATTTACTGCAATCCCCACACTGTACCAGCGTTCTTCCCACCTCTCCCTACGCTCACCCGTTCCCTTTGGTCTTCCTTCCCATCCTCTCCTGCTTTCCTAGCTCTATCTCTGCAAATGTTGAGACCCATTCTTTCAGCTGAGGTCAGTCCTCTAAGCCACAATCTCTTAAACCTGAATAGTGTATGGCATGTAGTTCAAAAATAGTCTGCATTCTAAAATTATTACAAATACCTATGTGCCAGAAGCCCCAAATGCCTTAATATCCACTGTCTATATCATGCCATTTGTATAACTCCTTCCAAGTACTGTAAACTCATTTATATAGTTAATATACAATCAACTCTCTTGAAAGGATGTTTTCTTTGGCTCTAATAGGAGGTGTGGGAGCTCTGGTAGCATAGTGCCTAAGGCACTTAACTGCTAACCAGAAAGCTAGCGGTTCAAACCCACCAGCCACTCGGAAGGAAGGTTGTGCAATCTACTTCCTTAGTGATACTGCCTCGGCAACCCAAGGAGGGGTCGCTGTGAGTCAGATCCAATTCGATGGCACATAACAACAACAACATTAGGAGGTGTAGGTATGAAATTTAATGGCCACATCACAGAATTAGTTGTTGATAGTCCTACAGGTCAAGTTCAGGGAAGTGATGTTGTCCTTCTCAAAATGTTTCATCCTCTCCTGCAGATAAGACAAGACCATGCTGCCTTAGAGTCATATGATTGCCTTTATACTAGCTTAGAAGTTATATAGGCCCCTATATAATCATCCTATATAAAAGAACTATATGATAGTTCATCACTTGCGTATTACCAAAGACATATTTATACAGGTTCGTAGAAGCCCAAGAAAGAAGGATTACTCAGCATTTTTGGACTATAATCTATGAAAACCAAACCAAACATCACACCTGAGTGTGTGTATGTACGAATATATGTTGTTGTTGTTGTTATGTGCCGTCGAGTCGGACCCGACTCATAGCGACCCCTCCTTGGGTTTCCAAGGCAGTATCACTACGGAAGTAGATTGCCTCATCTTCCTTCCGAGGAGTGGCCAGTGGGTTTGAACCACCAGCCTTCTGGTTAGCAGTCAAGTGCCTTAGCCACTATGCTACCAGACCTCCCGTATGAATATATATATACACATATATATGTAGAGAGAGAGAGACACGCACACATACACTTATAAAAGAAAAATTTCAAAAGATAATATTTATCCTTACTATATGTTATGCATACTGATATTTTTCTGTTCCATTCATTTTATTCAAAAGGGGGCAGGTCACCATCCTCTAAAACTGGTTTCACAACCTAAAATTTGGAAACATGTTATAGAAAATAGAACAGACTTGCACAGCCAGGCAAGAAGTGATGGGCAGAACAGATCTGCTGCCTACCTCAAGGCCATGAGCAGTTTCTAAATTCTTCTTTAGTTATTTGCTTTTTCCAGTTGAGAATGTACAATTTCTAAAGTCAAGCTCTTGACATTTTTGTAATGGTAAGGTTATTTTTGTTTGCTTTTTTTTACCCCAGAGCACTGTAAGTTCAGGTTCATCTAGTACTCTGAAATGTCAGTAGTAATAAATGTGGCTTTTGCATAGAACCTTAGTCAGGATAGGAGTTCTGGTGGTGTAATGCCTAAGGCAATTGACAGCTAACCAGAAGGCTGGCAGTTCAAATCCATCAGCCTGTCCTCAGAAGGAGGATTGAGTGATCTACTTTGGTAGTGATACCGCCTTGGAAACCCAAGGAGGGGTCGCTGTGAGTCAGATATGACTTGACAGCAGTAAGTTTGGTTTTGGTTTAGTCAGGTGGATTATTGTGTTCTATCTTTATTCAAGTCTCAGTAATTTGAGGGCAGGGTTAATTTATGCCTAATCATTGGGCCAGACCAAATGATTTTAGATTTCCTGAAACCTGGTTATGGCTGTTATGGTTGATGTTATGTGCCATCGAGTCAGACCCGACTCATAGCCACCCCTCCTTGGGTTTCCGAGGCAGTATCACTATGGAAGTAGATTGCCCAACCTTCCTTCCGAGGAGTGGCTGGTGGGTTTGAACCGCCAGCCTTCTGGTTAGCAGTCAAGTGCCTTAGGCACTAATCTACCAGAGCTCCTGAAACCTGGTTATAGTCTTGTTTAAAACATGGTAACAGGAAATACTTTCTATAAATCAAACTTCCAAGGTATCTCCAACCTTGAAAACCTACAGCATATTCTTTGTTCACCAGACATGCACTGAGGGCTGTGGTATGTTCAAGAAAAGTGGTTTTCAAAACTCTGACGTGCAGAGCCCTAAGGCATCTAGGATACCCAAGGAACAGCAGAGAAAGATCTAAGGGTCAAATGGATAGGACTCCTGACCACCCTTCTTCAATGAGAGATGCTCCGTGTTCTTTGGGGTTTTTTTAATCAATTTTGCATGGTTGACTTCCATCTAAAATGTCATTTGAACCAAGTATTTCTTTAAAAAAAAAGAAAAAGAAAACCTCTGTTCTGGACAATCCCTTCCTGTGTAGAAGGATACAAATAGATCATATTTAGCAGCTAACTCTGTGTAATTTGTCATCTTGGGGCTTAAGAAAGTATAAGAATTACATCCTTGTAAAAGGAGGATCAGTTTAGAATCCCAGAAAAATAACTTATATAAATCCCTAAAGTGGAGGGAAATTTGTCATCTTTCCTGTTGCCCTTTTAAAATCGGCAAAGGTTATGTTTTGATAGCTGTGATCTTGATTTTAACCTATTTTATGGTAAGAATAAATGATCTCTGAATCTAGTGAGACCTATCCCACAGACCAAAATTGTGACTCTGTATGTTGTCAGCTGAGTGTGGGTATTTTAAGTCAGTTTTGCATTGTATCATCAAGTATCCAATCTCCATAAATTTTGAAGATTTTCTTAGTTTGTGTTGCCAAAGTGTATCACAGAAATGTTGTTTTAAATGTCTGTCTCTGACTTTCTCACAATATATTTTGCCTAACAAAGTAATTTGAATCACATGTTGGCTTCCTGTACAAAGCTTAATTCAGAGCTTGAATCAGTCTTTGGGTCTGAGAAATCAGAGTTTTCCCCAAAGGTGTAGCGTATATTTAAATGTTTGTCTTTGTTCTTTCTAATTCTGTGTGTTTTCCTTTTTGCTAACCAGGAGCTGCAGGTAAGTTGCAGCCTGGTATTGTGGACTGTTTATTTGTTGTCCAGCTGTGATGTATTTGTCTTCTTTGTCGTCTCGTTTGTGTTTATAGATTAGAATAGAAATGGCATAGATAGTAGATTTAGTTGGTCCCCGGTAATATGATGAGGTAGAAAGCCAAGACATTTTTTTTAAAACAGGTTATCAACTAGATCTTTTGATCTCTTTTAATATGAATACTTAATGATATTATAGAAGTTTGAAGACATTGAAGGGCTGATTGAAACTCTGTTTATGATGCATTAAGTATTTTTCATCTTGGCATGTGTTTTCCTGGTATATTACACTTAGCAGTTTTATAAGCATATGTTTGGGATCTTAGGAATTACGTCTTGCTTTCCCAGGGTGAAAGTATGGACAATTTCAACTGGGGAGTCCGCAGGCGCTCGCTCGACAGCATGGACAAGGGCGACACTCCCTCGCTTCAGGAGTACCAGTGCTCCAGCAGCACACCCAGCCTGAACCTGACGAACCAGGAGGATACGGATGAGTCCTCAGAAGAAGAATCCGCACTCACTGCCAGCCAGATACTGTCACGCACACAGATGGTACACAGTTACCTTTTTGTACAATGATAATTGATCCCATTTCCAAACTTAGCAGTTAGTATGTTTGATTTTCATATTTTCATTTCATTGTGCATCAAATGCACACACCAGAATGAAAATAGAAAATTACAAGGGTAATAAACAATTCTGTTATTCATGACCAAACTAAACATAAAGTGGATAGTACTCACCCATCTGCAGTAAGACATGTATTTTGCTTCTGTCCTAGCAATGGCCCAGTATGCTGGGCACTTTTCAAGGTCACTTTTTCAGCTCATCTTGAATGGCACATGATTTTACTTTGGTTGGCAGGTATCAGTGTGAAGACTGACTCTCCCTAATTTGCCACCCATTTTTCTTTCCTTGTTGGCTTGGAAACATAGGGCACAAGTTAGGTCACTTTCAAGATCAAGTCAATTATATGGAGACTTGTATGTATCCCAAAGGCTGGATGGCAGAGATTTAAGGAGTGAGTGAAAAATGAGAAAATGAAGGCTGTAAGAGTACTGTGTCCATTGAGAAATATGGACATGAAAGGAAGGCTAAAGAGACAGTGGTAGCACAGTTGAAATTTGAAGATGGCATTTTGAGGAAAGAGAAGGTGTATGGAAGAGCCACCATGCTACATATGCTAAGGAGCCAATCGGTGCTGACCGGGACGCAGCTAAAGCTCCCCAGTTCTTTAGAATGAACACCTTTTTCATAGTGAAATAAAACATGCCGCCTCCTAATTTAGACCCATTTGCTCTACACTCTGTCTGCTGGTAAATTGCTGACAAAAACCAAAACCAAACGTGATTCACTGCCATAAATTTAATTTGACTCATAGCGATCCCTCCTTGGGTTTCTGAGGCAGTATCTCTACAGAAGTAGATTGCCCCATCTTCCTTCCAAGGAGTGGCTGAGGTAGGTTTGAACCGCCCGCCTTCTGGTTAACAATCAGATGCCTTAGGTATTTCAACTAGGAATCCATAACATAGACAACCCATTCCCAAATGGGATTGTAACCTCAGGCATAGAGGTTGGGATTTACCACACATAATTTGGGAGGACATAAATCATTCCATAGAAGTTACAGAGAGCTCTTCCACTTTGACAGCTTTTGATTACCAAAATTTAACAAGTATTAATGAACATTTGGTTCTGCATGAACAATACCTATTCTGCTATAGACTGAATGGGGGAAAAAAAAGCTAGTATTAGGAAATCACAGATGCCTTTTGTAGCTAAGCCCCCAAGTATCTTACTCTGTGGAATATGTTTTTTCTGGCCTTTGTGACCATTACTAACTCACAAATAAGTTTCTTATACTGCTTCCTCCTTTCAGTTGAACAGTGAGTCCACTGTGGATGAAACCATGCCAGACCATCCTGATTTACTTCTTCAGTCTCAGGACTCCACTGGCAGTGCCATCACCGAAGAAGTTCTTCAAATCAGAGATGAGACCCCAAGTTTGGAGGCTTCTCTAGATAATGCTAACAGCCAGCTGCCTGAGGTGGGGAGAAATGGGAGCTGGTGCATGGCCAATCTGGGCTCTTTTTAGCATTCTCTCACATCCCTTGCTTCTCATTCATAAGAGTTTTCATCTGATATGTTAATTATTTGATTTGTTTCCAGTATTTCTAACCTGTTGAGTTGTTTTAATGAAATAGACAAATCAGATAAAAAAGAAAAATAAAGAAAAAAAAAAAGGTGATGGATTAAGGAAATGACCTACAGGTTAAAAATCATCCTGAGTGTTTTTAATGAGCATTCATTTTGTGTTGCAGAATGTGGTTAGGTTCATGTACCGGCCGCTTCTCTGGGGTGGTGAGCATCTTCTGTAGCATTGTATTTTCTTCGAAGGACTGCTTTTGTTTTTCCTTTTCTTTTTGCTTTGTATTGGGTTTACATGATTGGTGCTGTGATCAAGATTAAAACCTCAGGCTAGCTCTGTTAGCAGGTGGTTAAATCACAACCTTTTTAAAACACTTTGGAACCACTAGTATTATATTTTTTGGAAAGGCCTGTGAGAAGTAAGCCAGATTCCAAGCTAATGACTGACCAAAAAATAAGTAAGTATTAGTTTTCTTAGTGTTTTTCTTTTTAAGATAACTATAGATAATTTTCTTAAATAGCGTAATTACTATAGCTCTGTCATATGCATTTTTATACCTTGTTAAGTATTAGGAAAGTAGTCTATTTTTGTCAGAGTTAACTAAGTTAATGTAGTCATTAGATCTAGACTGATGTAGTTATTAAATACGGTTTTAGTAAGCTGAATCCTTATGTCCTTAACAGGTTATTTTATATATTTGAATTCTCCATAATAGTAAGTAGATGATGTATTTTGAAATAAAGGCATTTAGGCTTCATTCTTAAAAGTTTTTTAAATGCCCATACTAGTGTGGGTAAGGTTTAGATCATTCAATTTAACAAATATTTATTGAGATCGTACTAAATGTCAGCCATTCTGCTAAGTGCTAGAAAGATGACCAAGGCATGGGCCCTGTTCTCAGGGAGTTTATAGTCTATTAAAAGAGAAAGTGTTTTGTTTTGTTTCAAAAAAAGAATTACACTTCAGTACTAGCAACTGACATGCTCAAGGCTTAGCAAAAGTTCAGTGAAAAACCCATCCACTCTGCAGTGGGGCTGGTAGTGGTGGTAAAGGCCAGACTGCATGGCAGTGGGCATTCCAGACAGAAAGGACACCATGAAGAAAGACAGGAAAATATGAAACATCATAGCATGTTTAACTAACAGCTGGAAATTCAACCTCTCTAAATAATAAAATGCAAGGAGAAGAAACAGAGGGAGAGGTGAATAGGGTGGAAGAAGGAAGATTCCTATATGCTATACTGAAGAACCTAGACTTCATCATGAGGTGACCTATCATCTATCATGAAGGAATTTCATTCTTTCAAGAGATGCCTGTCATGTGGCAAGCACCCTGCGAGATACCTAAGATGGGAATGCAAGCATGAGTGCATTCACTCATTTAACCAATATTTGTTGAGCCCCCGTCATGTGCGAGACACTGTTCTAGGCACTTGGGCCTACCCAAACCCCACTGCCATCAAATTGACTCTGACTCATAGCAGTGCCCATAGGGTTTCCAAGGCTGTAAATCTTTACAGAAGTAGATTGCCTCAGCTTTCTAGCACAGAGCAGTTGGTGGGTTTGAAATGCCAACCTTGTCATTAGTGGTCAGATGCCTTGTACACTGTGCCACTGGAGCTCCTCACTGGGCCTACAGCACTATACAAAACAGACAGAGGTTCCTGGTTTTAAGGAGCTTAACTCTAATAGGAGAGATGGATAATAAGCAGGATAAATAAAATATGAGTAACACATCAGAAAGAGATTGTCTTATTAAGAAAATATAACATTAATGTAGGAGTCGATGTTGGAGAAAATTAGATAGGATGGCATTTGTGGTAACACCTAAGTGACAAGAAGGAGCTAGCCCTTGGAAGAAGAGTGTTCCAGGCAGAGGAAGCAGCAGTTTTAACTGCTTTAAAGGCCGTAGTATAACTGAAGGACAACAAGCCAACCACCAGTGGGGCTGGAACACAGGGACCACAAGAGAATGGAGAAAGGGAGACAGAGTCAGAGGGATAGCTAACCGGCTCTCTGATCTGTGTGATGGGCCGTGCCACAGTCTGGGTACTTACCTTGGGGAGGGATGCGTCTGCATTGTTTTAATGGAGTCTCCATGAGAGAGCTACGGACGGATGGTGGGACTGTAAGAAGCTAGAATAAGGAGATGAGCTGGGACAATACGAGCAAGATATAAAGAGGGCCTGAAGTAAGAGCATATGAACATGAAAAATGATTGCTGGAATTGATGAATTGGTATATTGTCAGCAAAATTAAAATTAAAGGAAAAAAAAATGTTTACAGGAGAGTGGTGGTCACAGACTTTAGAGATGAATCTTAAGTAGACTTTTGCCTTTCAATTGTTGAGAGGCTTCTTAGGGGGGAGTATTAACTACTGGTTGTTAATCTAATCTGTGTCTGGTTTGGTTCCTATCATGTTAAAAACTCATTAGGAATTCTCATTAAAAACAATGGAAAACAGCAGGTTGGCAGTAGAAATACTGTTTTTAACCTAAGCAGTGTGATAGTATATATTTATTTATTTAACAAAAAGGAAAAAGCTTTTATTTTTACTTAAGCTTTGTTATTAAAATAGCTACCACCATAGTGAGTAAACTACCTCCTAGAAATGATCCAGATTTGTTAGAAAGGTTGTGTTATTTTAGACAAGGCATGCATTCATTCATTTAGTAATGTTTAATGGGCCTAATCCCAGACACTATAAAGTTCCAAGGATACAATAATGACCAAGGAGATAATCCTTTACCTTAGGAAAAACAGTTAAAGCATGATACATATCATAGTAGAAGTACTAGGGATTCATTCAGTCTTTTTACAAATATTTATTGAATATCTTCTCTGGGCAAGTATTGAGAATTTAGCGGTGTATGAAAGTAACAACAACAACAAAAAAATCTTGTCATGGAGCTTTTACATTTTAGTGATAAGAAATTTAAAAATAAATAAATATGTAAAAGATCCGAAGTGTATTGGACGATGATACGTTCTAAAGGAAATGTAAAGCATGGAAAGAGGAATAAAAAACCTTTTAGGGAAGGGATGTGATTTCAAATAGGTAGACAGGGAAGGCGTCACCGAGAAGAGTGCGGGTTGGGGTAGGGTGGGTGATACCAGGTAGAAGAGAGTTCCAGTCATAAGAAAGAACAAATGTCTAATCTTTGAGGCAGAAACATCCCTCCTGTATATGATGGATAGCCTCAATACATAGAATAAGACAAAGGAGGGATAATGGAAAATAGGGCCAGAGAGAGAGTCAGAGGCCTTTGTAGACCATTGTATAAACTGGCTTTTACTCAGAGTGAAATGGAAAACCCTTGGAGCTGAGGGGCAGAAAAGTGACATAATCTCACATACAGATGGATTGGTTGGGGACAGCCATTAGGAGGCTGTAGTAATGATGGTGGCTTGAAGGTCTTTATAAGAGGTGATAAAAGTAGTCTAGAAGTTTGGAAGAGGCTTTCCTAGGAGAGTGACTTAGGAGAATGAGTAGGAATTAGACAGGAGACACAAGTCATTTGAAAAGCAGTAAACAGTAAGGGGGAGGTCAGCACAAAATGGTCAAGGCAAAGGAAAACACTAGGAGGAGCACAGGAGTTAAAGACAACAATACCGTTACACATACAATCCTGTAGTAACAGTAATAACAGTAATCACGTGGATGCATAGGTAGACATGCAAGCTGAACAGGTGTGGGAATGTGAATAGGACCATACTTGCAAATATATATAGGTTTGACAGGATGTTTTTACATATATATATATATATATATATAT